TGACCTGTCCAAGGTCATATGAGTGAAAAGTGGAGCTGCGCTGGGCCCCGGGAGAGGTGTCCAGAGCCTGTGACCCTTCCCTTTTGTCTAATGCTGTGTCTGCAGGAACCTGGACTATCCCACTCCACCTGCCCTAGGCCAGCTGCTCAGTGCAGGCAGCTGCCACGCTGATCCCCAGTGAGTGCAAGACCCCTATATGATGGTCTCTAAGTGTTGCCAGTGGCTGAAGACATCTGGTAGTCATGGAAGTGAGAGATTAAGGATGGCCACGGCGGCACAGTGGCAGGACAGAAGGCTGGGCGACCACAAATTCTTAGGCACAATGAACCTTTGTAGCATGACATGTTTCAACAGATCCTTTATGAGACCCCCCAATAAAACCACAGGGGCAGAATGCATACAATGAGAAGTCCCCCCCAAAAAAACCCCCAAAATAAAAAACCAAACCCAAAGTCTCCCTTTCTCTTTTCCAAATTAAAAATCACTGTTTTGGAGATGACACAGTGGGGCATGCATTACCAGCTTCCTGCTGGCTTTGCTGTAGATTGCCTCAGCCATCTGTGTGCTAACATTGCACGGGTTACTTCCTGGGACTTGAAGGCAACTTTTGCTGAACACCCTGGGCCCACAGATGTCTGACAGGTGATTAAAATGCCACCTCCACTTTATATGGTGTCTTCCCCCTTTGGAGCCTTGGCTTCGAGTCAGACTGTGCTCAGTCCACGCATTATCATGTGGATTGTCTGAAATAGTGTTTTGTCCAAGGCTGACATGGGTTAACGTGGCCTCTTACAACCGGAGCTGATACTTGTTCCTTCTCCCCCAGTCTTGAGCTTTTTTTTGGCATGGCCAGTAGCCAAAGTCCTTCCGCTCTAGCCTAGGGCCAGGACATGTACACGAGAGGTTGCCTGCTGTAGGAGGAGCTCTGCAGCTCCTGACCCGATCTGAGTGCCTGCAGCCCACCCAGCACAGGCCAGGTGTGTTATACAGGGCAATGACTCTGGAGAGAGGGCAGGGCGACCGCTTCCAGGAGAAGTTAACCACAACCACCACAGACAGAAGCATCTTGTAAAATCAGCTCACTGGCCGATAATTCCTGGCCTTTAGACCATCTGGGAATAAGCAAGAACCTTCGGCCCTGCCCTGCATGGCAGCCCAGTCTCTGCACCAGCGGTTCACTCCCTCCAGCCAAAGCCCATCTGGCCTGGCAGGAGTGTTTCCCAGTGCCCGGCCCATCTTCCTTTCTACCACGTGTAGATCAAAGGTATCATCTGGTATCGCCATCTTTTCCCCACTGAAGACTTTCTCCTGTGAGTAACTTCCTTTCAGTGCTAAGTTTCAGGAAAGGGATGGGAAAACAGATGCATTTAATACTCAAATCTGGGGCTCTCGTGTTGAGGGAGCTGATTCCCTCACGGAGGTTCCAACCGCACGACCCAAGGCGAGTAAGGACTATAACTAAAATGCAAGAGACCCCGGCTACTTGTGAGCGGTGGTGTCATACCCTCCTTCTTCTATAGCTTTCATTTTGACAGTAGAGTTACAAACATGTTTACTCAAAAAATCTATTTTTGTGGGTGCTGGGGTAGAAAGAGGCAGGCAAGTGCCCCATCCTGCGTGCACCCCCAGCCCCAATTTTTTTCCCGAGCTTCTTTCCAGGGCTAGGTGCTGACTGTCCTAGGAAGGGTTTCATTCCAGCTATGGAGTGCGTTTTGCTGTGATGACAACAGAGGACAAGGATAGGTGCCCATTCCCAGCACAGGTCCTGCTGAGGGTTTAGTTGAACAAATATGCCTGTAAGCAGAGCAGAAGCAAGGACCACGCTGTGCAGCACACACAGGTCGGCACTTTGTACGGGCTACATGGCAGGTTGTGCCGTGAATGAAAGAATCCGAACTCCTTTTTGTCCCGAGCCCTTCTCCCTCCTCCTCTCCCTGCTGCAGCCCCTCCGTTGCTCCGTTGCTTGTCGGCTGCCTGCAAACCCTGCTAGCACTGGCTGCTGATGGAGTCCAGATGCTGGGGACAGACAGAGATCCCTGGTTGGGGAGGAGCTCTCCAGCACCGGGGGGGGGGGGGGGGGGGGGGGGGGGGATGAGCTCTTTGAGGATGAGTCAGTGACTTTTCCCCCAGCACTGAGGATTGAACGCAGGGCCCTCACACTGAGCTACGAGTACAGCCCCAGCCCTTGTTTTTTAAGACAGGGTCTCATTAAGTTGCTAAACTGCAAGATGTCACAGGTATATGCACCAGTTCTCCAAGGAGATGGTACGTATTACGCACTGCAAATATACCAATAAAAAAGGAAATACAATTGCATTGCTAAACGGCCCAGGCTGGGCTGGAACTTGCAGACCCTCTGCCTCAGCCACCCAGATTGCTGGAGTCACAGGCCCACGCCACCATGCTCAGCTAAGTCACTGATTCTGAGAGAGGAGAAAACCCCAACCGTATCTGAATCACCGGAAGGGATTTTATCACTTCCATTTTCTTTCCATCGCAGCCTCCTACATCCTCCCTATCTCTCCTCCCCATGCAGAGCTGAGCACCTCAACAGTATTCTAGGGTGAGCCAGGGACAAAACCTTTGAGGCTACTGGGTTTAGTCTCGTGCGACTTGAGTTTCCGGTGCTGTGTACCATTCTGTTCTGAGGAGTCAGTTGTGTCGCTGAGGGATCCTGATGCAACATGACATTTAGTTTCACCACAAGTTTACAGACTTCTCTGCAAATGTGCAAGCCGATCTGCATGGAACTTGGTGACAGCTGCTCTACTTCTGTGTACGAAGTGCTGTGCCCAGCAGGTGCAGTTGACCTTGCTTCCTGGTAGCTGCTCTCTGTCTGGGGAAACTGAGGCAAGGGGACAGTGACCTGTCCAAGGTCATATGAGTGAAAAGTGGAGCTGCGCTGGGCCCCGGGAGAGGTGTCCAGAGCCTGTGACCCTTCCCTTTTGTCTAATGCTGTGTCTGCAGGAACCTGGACTATCCCACTCCACCTGCCCTAGGCCAGCTGCTCAGTGCAGGCAGCTGCCACGCTGATCCCCAGTGAGTGCAAGACCCCTATATGATGGTCTCTAAGTGTTGCCAGTGGCTGAAGACATCTGGTAGTCATGGAAGTGAGAGATTAAGGATGGCCACGGCGGCACAGTGGCAGGACAGAAGGCTGGGCGACCACAAATTCTTAGGCACAATGAACCTTTGTAGCATGACATGTTTCAACAGATCCTTTATGAGACCCCCCAATAAAACCACAGGGGCAGAATGCATACAATGAGAAGTCCCCCCCAAAAAAACCCCCAAAATAAAAAACCAAACCCAAAGTCTCCCTTTCTCTTTTCCAAATTAAAAATCACTGTTTTGGAGATGACACAGTGGGGCATGCATTACCAGCTTCCTGCTGGCTTTGCTGTAGATTGCCTCAGCCATCTGTGTGCTAACATTGCACGGGTTACTTCCTGGGACTTGAAGGCAACTTTTGCTGAACACCCTGGGCCCACAGATGTCTGACAGGTGATTAAAATGCCACCTCCACTTTATATGGTGTCTTCCCCCTTTGGAGCCTTGGCTTCGAGTCAGACTGTGCTCAGTCCACGCATTATCATGTGGATTGTCTGAAATAGTGTTTTGTCCAAGGCTGACATGGGTTAACGTGGCCTCTTACAACCGGAGCTGATACTTGTTCCTTCTCCCCCAGTCTTGAGCTTTTTTTTGGCATGGCCAGTAGCCAAAGTCCTTCCGCTCTAGCCTAGGGCCAGGACATGTACACGAGAGGTTGCCTGCTGTAGGAGGAGCTCTGCAGCTCCTGACCCGATCTGAGTGCCTGCAGCCCACCCAGCACAGGCCAGGTGTGTTATACAGGGCAATGACTCTGGAGAGAGGGCAGGGCGACCGCTTCCAGGAGAAGTTAACCACAACCACCACAGACAGAAGCATCTTGTAAAATCAGCTCACTGGCCGATAATTCCTGGCCTTTAGACCATCTGGGAATAAGCAAGAACCTTCGGCCCTGCCCTGCATGGCAGCCCAGTCTCTGCACCAGCGGTTCACTCCCTCCAGCCAAAGCCCATCTGGCCTGGCAGGAGTGTTTCCCAGTGCCCGGCCCATCTTCCTTTCTACCACGTGTAGATCAAAGGTATCATCTGGTATCGCCATCTTTTCCCCACTGAAGACTTTCTCCTGTGAGTAACTTCCTTTCAGTGCTAAGTTTCAGGAAAGGGATGGGAAAACAGATGCATTTAATACTCAAATCTGGGGCTCTCGTGTTGAGGGAGCTGATTCCCTCACGGAGGTTCCAACCGCACGACCCAAGGCGAGTAAGGACTATAACTAAAATGCAAGAGACCCCGGCTACTTGTGAGCGGTGGTGTCATACCCTCCTTCTTCTATAGCTTTCATTTTGACAGTAGAGTTACAAACATGTTTACTCAAAAAATCTATTTTTGTGGGTGCTGGGGTAGAAAGAGGCAGGCAAGTGCCCCATCCTGCGTGCACCCCCAGCCCCAATTTTTTTCCCGAGCTTCTTTCCAGGGCTAGGTGCTGACTGTCCTAGGAAGGGTTTCATTCCAGCTATGGAGTGCGTTTTGCTGTGATGACAACAGAGGACAAGGATAGGTGCCCATTCCCAGCACAGGTCCTGCTGAGGGTTTAGTTGAACAAATATGCCTGTAAGCAGAGCAGAAGCAAGGACCACGCTGTGCAGCACACACAGGTCGGCACTTTGTACGGGCTACATGGCAGGTTGTGCCGTGAATGAAAGAATCCGAACTCCTTTTTGTCCCGAGCCCTTCTCCCTCCTCCTCTCCCTGCTGCAGCCCCTCCGTTGCTCCGTTGCTTGTCGGCTGCCTGCAAACCCTGCTAGCACTGGCTGCTGATGGAGTCCAGATGCTGGGGACAGACAGAGATCCCTGGTTGGGGAGGAGCTCTCCAGCACCGGGGGGGGGGGGGGGCGGGGCGCGGGCGCCGAGTTAAAAGTATCGTGTGAGGAGCTTCCGTCTTTGCTTTTGGTCATGGCGCAGGCGCAGCGAGCTCCTGCTACGGGGTTCCTTAAAACCCTTCCGGTAGGTTCGGCCAATCCGTGCATAGTGGAGCTGGGCGGATCGACAGCACAGGAGCTGAGTCTGTCTGTTCTGTGTGCACACACCTTTTAACCTCAGTCATCACCATTCCTCAGGCCTCAGCTCTAGACAGATTCATACTTGCTCTTCTTCTTGGATACAGAATGGCAAATACTGGAATTTAAAGACTCTCCCTGGTATTTCCATCTTTAAACCTTGAAACAATGTGCTTTTGAGCTCAGAAGCCTATGTGGCCCACTTCTCCTGGTATTTCCCTATTATTACTAGATATAGAATCACAGTTAATGTTTGGGTCAGAAAGACCTGGGTTCCTTTGCCATCTCTTCCAGGAGGGCCCAGTAACTACTATTACCAAATCATTGTATTTTTTAAAATTCTCAAATTCCTTGCTTGTAAACTGAAATCATTTCTGTTATGTATTGTTATAAAATAAAACAAGCTAACATTTAAGCACCTAATAAATATTAGCTATGAGTCCTTTTTTGTTTGTTTGTTTGTTTGTTTGAGACAGGGTCTTGCTATATAGTTCAGGCTGGCCTTGAACTCACTATGTAGCCCAGGTTGGCCTAGAACTTGTGTTGATCCTCCTGTCTCAGCCTTCCAAATGCTGGGATTACAGGCGTGTGCCACCATGCCTGGCTATTAGCTATTGGTCTTCATGGGATCCGTACCA